AAGAAACATTCAATTCCCCATATTATTCCTTGTGAGGTCCAGGGATATGCAATTAGCTCTTTTTTAAAAAAAAAAACTAAGCAAGATACGGAAAAAATTCAAGAGACAAAAAAGTTGTATTTCTAATTGCTTAATCCAAAGAAATGATGAAAATTGCACAAAAGTCAGTGGCGTACATTTTCAAGTCAAAAATATTCGTTCAAATCCCGTTCGAGACGCCACTGGACTTAATAAATTGAATCACGTTCGGGCTAAATTAGCTCCTTGAAGTTATAAATGCCATTGCCATTACAACAAAATTGGGTGAAATATATTTAAGATATTTACGAATAACTTTTTTTTTAATTTTATTTCAACACCCTGTATCTTGAGAACAAAGGATTACATGAACATTTCGTCTTAAAATTACCTAAAGAATCGTCTGTTGAATTTATGGTACATACTTAATTAACACCCTGTATAATGGCGAATGTAATGAATCATTGTTAGTTTATTGTATAAGTTTAGGACGAAACTGCAGTATCGTTAGTTACAAATGAAAGTGGTTAAAAACATAGAAATTTTTATTTCTTTTTTCATTATGATTTCCTATCACGTAGTTAACGGCTACATCCATTTATTTCCGTTTGAATGCTCGAGATCTGTATTTGACAGAATTATCGATATTATTGCTTGATCTATTCGGGGCAGATAGCGCTGTATGTAACCTCCTTGATATAATTTACATGTTTTTCTCATTTGAAACAAGGATTTTTTTTATTAACACGCACCCTGCTGCCTTATTTGTAACCCTTCCTTGAGCGCCTGCTGGCTTCCTTAAGCTCGGAATCGGAAAATATCAATGGTGATTTTTGTGAACAATTCTAAACGGCTGATTGATCCCAAAATTCAGATGCGTTTAAAGAACATGGAACTGAAAAGTTGAAAATATTTTTTTTAATAAGCTTAAAACAATAACGATCGCTTTGTGCCATATTTTTTGTATATCCAGCGCTCGTCGCTTTTTTTACAATAACGAACGAAAAATACTAGTATTATTGTTAAAAAAGGGTGGGCGCTTTGTTCCATATTTTTTGTATATCCAGCGCTCGTCGCTTTTTTCACAATAATACTAGTATTTTTCGTTCGTTATTGTTTTGAGTTCATTGAAAAAAAAATTATTTTTTTATTTTAAACAATTTTCTTCTCTCTCTAACGCACATCCTACCATGTGTCATGCTATGTCCTGTGGATAGAAGGGTGGTCTGAAAAGTTTCCGAGCTCAACTTGAAGGTAGCAGCACTCGTAAATGAAAGCTAGTGAATTTCGTTGTTCATCTGTTGACAGTTACTCATCAAAGTTTCAGCCATTTGGGATGCGTAGTTCTTATGTAACAGTTGTTTGAGTTAGTTGAATTGGGTGTTTTTACGCAGTTAATACGCCTGCGCACTATCATTCACCACAGTGAAATTTTGGACAGCTGAATTTGAACGTGGCCGTAAGAGCTTGGGAGACGATGAAAGTTCGGGATGTCCAAAAACTGCAACTATCGACGAAATCATGGCCAAAGTAAACCAAATAGTGCTAGACGACCACCGAATTTAAGTGAAAGAGACAGCAGAGGTCATGAACATGTCAAAAAATCGTGTCACATATTTAATCAACATTCAGGCATAAGAAAACTGTCTGCGCATTTGGGTGTCGCGTTTGCTTGCGTTAGACCAAAAACGTGTTCGAATGAACATTTCGAACGCTCGGTTGACGTAGTTTAGGAGTAATAAATCTGAGTTTTGGCACCGAATAATTACTGTAGATGAAACTTGGACACACCAGTATATGCCCGAAACAAAAATATAGTCCAAATGGTGGACTACAAGGGAGGAACCAGCTCCAAAAAAGCAAACACTGTTTTTTGACTGGGAAAGTGATGGCTTCTGTTTTTTGGGATAGTCATGGAATTATTTCAATCGATCATCTGCAAAAAGTGAAAAACATCACAGGAGCCTACTATGCATCATTACTTGACAAGCTGAAGGTGAAAATTGTGGGAAAATGGCCACGTTCGCAAAAAAAAGAAGGTCCTGTTTCAACACACCGTCTCACACATCAGCGGTTGTCATAGCGAAAATCCACGAAAACGGTTTGAACTGCTTGACCAATCGCCTTATTCACCAGATCCAACCCCAAGAGACTTCTTTTTGTTCCCTCTTCTAAAAATTTCGTTCGGAAGACAGAGATTTTTGTCGAATGAACAATTATTTTGCAGAGAAAAACAGAGTACTATTTGGAATTAGTGTGAAGTTACCCACAACTTCTCATCCACAGTTTATGACAAGGGACAATCGAACTGGGTTTAGAATATTAAATATTAAGAATTTTACCTGTATTTTTAGAAAGTATATCTATCGACGTCTATGAATAGATTTGAGTACCAGACGTTCTTTCGGTGCGAAAAAAATAGTTCCTTATATTCGAAACTGAATTATTCATAAAAGTCATATTTCTCACTTATCAAAGATAGTTTGTTGATGAAAATTTTAGATTACATTCTTTGAAAGTATGTCTATCGACGTGTTTGAACAGATTTGCGTACCACCTTTGGTGCGAAAAAAATAATTCTGTATATTCGAAACTGAATTATTCAAAAAAGTCAAATTTCTCACTCATCAAAAATAGTTTGTTGATTGAAATTTCAGTGCGTACCACACTTTATTTTGGTGCGATAAAATGTATCAAAAGGTTTAGCTCATCCACGAATTCATACATCAAAATGATCTCAGTGACTAGGTATACTGAGAGGCGTTTCATGAAAGGAACTATTATGAAAAAAAATTATATTCCGTTTACTTTAGTTGAATCAAAATGATACAAAACACTTCTTTAAGACATTAGCTGCTGCCATCTGAAAACCAGAAAATTAAAAGTGCCAATACCGCCGAGTCCATATTGGGCGTCGTTGCGGGGACTAAAAGTCTCTAGCACACTTTCTTCTGTGTCTTTAGTATATTAATGGAAGTGTATTCTGATTAAGGTGCTCATTGGTAGGCACTGGAATGTTTCTTCGAAATATAATAAAAATCTCACGAATTTCCCAGAAATTACGGTTTTTTCACAATGGTATGCCAAAGTTTACCTGTTTAGTTTTGTCAACATGGTGTGGAAACGCTAAGCCCTTGCAACTTTCCCTTGATATGTTGTACATTCACGTAAGAAAAATCTTATTGGAGATGACATTATCATAAGCGGATGTAACTATTTTGCAGGCCTGCAGGTCAGCAAATTGTTTTCAGTGGACATTGTTAACGGAAATGTAGGAAGGCAGAAATTCGTGCAGGTTGGGTCTCCTAGATATGAATTTCGAACAGGTTAATCATTTTCGACAAAAAAGATTCAATCCCCACCCCATGAAATTGAAAATTAACTTTGCAGGTCGGCCTTCTTTCTTTTTCTGTAATCATACATTGAAAGTTGATTGTAATATTCCGTACATATCGGATTTGTAACATTTCATCAACAGACTATTTTTGAAAAGTGAAAAGTTTGACTTTTTTGAATGATGAAGTCGCCCCGGAGCGCCAATTAATTTTTATTTTTGTTTTTATTTTTATCGTTGTTTTACAATAAACATTTATTCAGTTTTGAATATACGGAACTATTTTTTCCGCACTGAAGGAACATATGGTACGCAAATCTGTTCGAACACGTCGATAGACATACTTTCGAAGAATGTACCCTAAAATTTTTATCAACAAACCATTTTTGATAAGTGAGAAATTTGATTTTTTTGAATAATTCAGTTTCCAATATACGTAACTATTTTTTTTGCACCGAAGAAACGTATTGTACGCAAATCTGTTCAAACACGTCGATAAACATAATTTCAAATGAATTTTTCCTGAATAATATTAAACTCTTATTTTACATGTTTTTCGGTATTAATGCTTGTATAGGGACAGTTGGCTGATAGGATGAGTTTATGTAGAATGCTGACTCATTCATTCGACATGTTTCAGTAATATATCGTGTTTTTAATATGATAACATCGAAATAAAGGTGAAATTATTAATATTTGCAATCTGGCAACACTGTTCGCAAATCTCATTCTAAACCCTGCTCGATTGTCCCTTGTGATTAACTGTGGATGAGAAGTTGTGAGTAACTTCACACTACAAAGACGGGTTACAAAGATGGGAGCATCTCTGGGAGAAGTGTGTTGAGTTAAAAAAAACTATGTTGAAAAAAAAAATCAAACAATGTCTTGAATCTTTGTTAGGTCGGACCACCTTCGTATATGATGAGAAATAGGTGATGGAATATTTTCCAGTTTGTAAATATTTCCCAAGCGGAAGGTGTCAGACCCCGACTGTTATAACATTGGATGCAGGGCCGTCGCCATGGGGGGAGCCTTTTTCGACTTGGGAAAAAGTTGGTAAATTTTGGGCTATGAAGATAGAAAAAAATAATAATAAAAAAATGAATGAAGATTAAAAAAATAAAAAGAAAAGAAAAGGAGAGGGAATAAGAAAAGGAAAAGAACCAGGAGAAGGTTGGAATATCCCAACATGCATAACTTTAAGATAATTCTGAGTTGTTTGAAATCTTCAAAAAAGTTTGATTTCTCCCAAGTAAAAAACAGTCCTGAACAGTCCACAAATTTTGAATTGACAAAAGGCAAACTTTTCAGTTCACCTCAAAAAGTTACTGCGTAGATTCAAACCATCCATTATTACAATTTTTTTATTTTTTCAGATGATGAAAGATATAAAAATTTAAAAAGGAAGTCAATGAAATTCATTTTTGCATAGGCAATAATATCATTTTTCCGTTATTAGTTATCAAGCCGCCATTATTTTGATTACCTATCATTCAGAAATCACTTGATAGATAATCTTGAAATGACTCGTATGCAGAAACTCCATATTGTTGGTATATATCCAAACAGCCTTGCAAAATATTTGACATATCATGTAATCATGATATTTGAAGTACCTACTCTATTATTTCACCAAAACCTTTTCATGATTAACATCAAAATATTCAACTTTATAGGGCTCATCAAAGTCATTATGAACAAATGGGTCATTTGAATGGAAATCTGAGTCTTGATGGAAAAACAATATCTTTGGAAGACATCGATGCGTTCAGGGACCACAGTTTTGGTGAGATTTTTTAATTTCATGATCGTTTTTTGAATTCATTTAATGTTCATGTAATTTTGTGGGCAAACTGATAATAATGTTAATGAAGAGACATACTCATAGTCTAAGAGCCGATATCAAATTTCAATAATTTTTTTTCATTTCAAGTTCTGCAAGAATATCGAATATCTATTTGCACTTATCATATGAACCTCATTGTACTGTCAGAACATGATCATGATAGTTTTGAACACGGTATCGCCCGGCTTGGGGTATCTGCAACTTTGAAATTTCAAATGCGGACTCATACTTTCGTAGCAATATTTCAATCGTTAATATCAAATAATATAAAAATAGTGATTTTTTTTATGATACCAAGTGTTTGAGAAATTTGACAATCATCAAATAATAATTTCGATGCTCAATTCGTTCAATTTTCCGACGGTGATTTATGAAACGTGCGGACAGCAGAATCAGATTTCTTATGTTGACCAGTGCCAGCTGTTGCTGATGCAATTTTTGGTACCTTTCATCGATTTCCCCATAATAGGATTTCGCTGCGATCGTTAGGCCTGGTAGTTATAGTGACTTACACTAGCTGCTGACCACCATGCACTAACCATAATTGTTATTTGATAGGTTTTTACCTTTTAAAAGTACCTGGATGGCTTATCGATGTTCAACCAGTGCCCTGTACGTCTCCTGTTGTCATAGACGATCCACTTTTCAACACACGTGAATCGATGCAAAAAAAGCTGTTTTGGTTACGCAAAAGCAAAGAGCAGACTTGACCATTTCTGTCGATCGTTCAAATCGTGAGGGACGTTTAAACCATCAAAAATCGCATGGGAGTTAACGCCTAGTTCTCCTGCCATCCCACGCACAAATTGTCATGGGACAGTTTCCAACAGGGTCCTCAAATCCTCGTCCTGGACGAAATTTCGAAAACCAACCTCAAACAGTGCATTCATCAACAGTTCGGCAGTGCTTTGGTTCAATTTGAATTTCAAAAATCGCTCTACAACATCATACTAAGCAGAATAGAGGCAAAAAATTTAAATTAAGGAAAAATAATTGAACAGCATCAATGTTTACAAAACAAAATTCTGTATCGATCAATATATACTACAACACAGTATGGAGCTACAAAAACGCATTACATCAAAGCGGACAAAACTTCTGAAACAACCTTCTAGGCTGAGAAGTACCACATTTACTGCCGCGGCTTGCATTTCATTGCCGAGGCAATGAAACTACCTAAGGCAGTGAATCTGATTCTTTGTTTGTACAGTGTGTTTGAAAATCTTGAATGAAATCAAAAATAATTACACTATGATTATGAATGGTAAAACGGTTCATCAATACCGTGAAGTTGAAAAATTGTTTGCACATTACTGTAAATGCCCATAATAATCATCAATTTCATAGACTTTCATCTACTTACATTTTCATTATTTTCTGTGTTACGTTCATTATATCCTGTGTTATGTTCTGTGTTTTTATTTAATTATCAAGTTTAGAAATTAATTATTATGAAATTCTGAATTTTGTCGTTCTTCTAATGAGTATCTGCTTTTCATTATATTTTTCACAAAAATATACTCAATGCCCTATTAATTCTCACGAGATTTTTTTGAGCGTTACGCTTGTCAAAGTGATTAAAAAAAATCCTTCTAATATATGGAATAAAAAAAAAGGCTAACTTGAATACTTTTCAAAACTGCCTCAATAATAAACATAAAACAATATTAGTCACTGAAATATCATTTTTACAATTCATTGAGGACGTCTCTTTCGCTGCGGATCTCATACCAAGAAACAAGCCTTTCATACTTTCAAAGTCTTCCCCCATTTGGCGGGACACAGAATATTCCGAGTTAGTTAAAAGTAGAAAAGTGGCTATGAGGAATTTCAATCAAATTCCTGATTCAGGCAAAGGTTGAATCAACTTTCAAAGAAAAAGCTACACATATCTGAAGAAAGTTTTTGAATAATAATAAAAAAAATACACTTATAGAGCACATTTGGAAATTTGTGAAAAGTATTCCCAATGAATAAAAATTCTCAAATAAAACCATTACTCCCCGGACCGGACAGAAAAATAATTTGATTATTTATCATTCCCTTTTGTCAACCCTGAACCCAATAACAATATCTTAAACAATATAGAAAAAGAAATCTGCATATCCTTTAAATTAACTTCATCTGAATTGAATATAGCACTCAAGAATACTTGCAACACTGAATCTGGTAAAGACAGTTTCACATATTCTATGATTAGGAACTTACCAGAAAAATCTAAATATCCGCTTATTCAAATATATAATCAATGGTTAAAATATCCCAAGCACTCAAAGACGTGATAGTTATTCATTCTAAAACCTAAAACAATACCTTTCATGGTATCGACCGATTTCGCTCATTTCGTGTCTTGCTAAAACATATGGAAGGATTGTAAAGTCGAGATTAGAATGGTTCTTTGAACATAATCAGCTATGAAAAATCAGCTATGATGTTCTTTACTCTGCATAGACTGAGAGCCGGAAACAACATCTATCTGGGCTCTCTGTCTATCCCAGTTTTACCCAATTATAGATATTTAGAGTTGATTTCATCTAATTTTATCTTCCATGTAAGCTCACATGGAAGAAGCATATCATCTATGTTCAAACCAAATGTGAAAAAGGACATAAACATTCTCAAATGTGAAAACCGATGAGGGGCAGATCTCAGAACGTCATTATTGTTCTACAGGTCGTATATTCGATCCATACTTGATTACGGATATATATTTTACGGATTGACCGCAGATTCGAATCTGTTACTAATAAACCGAGTGCTCAAAAATTTGTATCGGCGTCTTTAAATCATGTCCAACCCCAGCTATACTTGCGGAAGCTCAGAAACGTCCTCTCCTCCTACGCAGACACTTTTTGTCCTGCAAGAAATTGGTCAACATCAAATCATGTAGTAATAAACTAATGGTGGTCATTTACAGTATATAATTGAAAATCTCGTTAATCGATACTGGAACCACAAAAATAAACCCCCTTTGGCTGAAGCCTTCGCCGCAATATCACAGAGGATAAATGATATCCACTCTCAGAACATAGTGTTTCAGTTTCAGCTGGCATTCCCTATGTTGATGTTCAAATCAATGGTCATGTTCTCCAACTTCTTAGTGAATTCTCAACTCAACCAAGCTCTAATAAAATCGATACTGGGAACAATTGAATCTTCCAACACAATATACTGTGATGGGTCTAAAAGTGGTTATGGCACTGAAACTGCATTCTATATAAAATAAAAAATATTTCTCAATTCCACCTTCCCAATAAGAGTTCGATTCACACAGCAGAGGCTTATGGTATACTTCAAGCTCTTTTGTGGGTTAAACAGAATGGCAAAGCTAATTCAGTCATTTTATTGAATTCCAAATATGTTCGTCTTTCCCTCACTAACTACAAAAGACATATCAATAAAAATTCACTTATTTTTGAAATTATAAAAACCTTAGAGGACTTTTTGAGTAATGGAATTGACATTGTTTTCATTTGGATCAAAGGTCACTCAAGTATCGGCCGAATCCATCACATTAATGTTCGAAACCCAGCAATTTCAAGTACATAATTCAAAACGATGAGTATTTTTCAACAATTCACTTTCACAAATGGTCGGTAGTTTTATGTGTCATCATCACCACTGAATGTTCAAGAGACGGAAATTCACTAATATTTATGATACAAAATAACTAAGAATGGGATAATAGGCGACTGAAAATGGCTTCAACTCAAAAACCGGCAGTTATGATCATCAAAGAGTAAATTGCAAAATTGCCAAATTATTAAGATGAGCATGAAATTCTCCTCCTTTGATTTATATGGGTTCCCACCAGCTCATAATTGATTCAGTGCTTCATTCTATACTTTCTCATTGTGTATTGATTTCAGCTACTAATTTAAAGTTTCCCAATTAACGATTATAGCAGAAATCAAATTAAACTTGTGCTATTCATATTTTTTAATGTCTGTCGAACGACCTCATTATAATTTCAACTGGAAAGGAATATATTGACAACAAAACTTTTGCAAGAAATAATCATATTAGGAGAACAGAAATATTTTAGAATCAATATAAATAATAATATGCTTGTTCATTTATAGGTAATAATAATACCGCTAGAAGAATAATTATGTTTGAATCATTTGAAACAAAGGGATAAACACAGGCACCACAAATAACTGAACACGCGTGAGAGGTAGCCTATGTGAACAACAATTCAAATCATAAATAATTATATGTGTTGAGTTATAAAAAGATTAGCTGGAAAATAACAATTATATCAAGCAAAAAAAACTGATATTACAATGAAAAATTACAATTGAAAATTAAAAAACTAACAAGAATTGATTGAATCTTTGAAATCTTTTGAATTCTTGATTTTCATTTCTTGTCAAATATTTGATTTACAATTGTTGCTTGTATTTTATTTCAGTGTATTTTGAGTTTTTTTCGCTTAATATAATTGTTACTTTTCAGCTAACTTTTTCAATTTCATTGATTCTTTCAGGGATTTCAAATCATTTTATATAATGTTAGACCATGGAAGTCCGAACTAATGAAATTTCAAGGACCTTTTGGACCTCATTATATGATGAAATCATAATGGAAATATAAATTGAATTTTGTCAATTCATCCCCCTTTTTATAGGTGAAGGCAAAGTAGTATTCAAATTCCTGAAGTTCAATTATTCTTCAAGTCCATCATTCGCATTATTTTACTTCTTCCACAATGTGATATATATATGTTTTCAATTTAGTCTCATACTGATTAAATACATTCAACAGTTTGATTTCATTCTGTATCAAATTATTTTCTAGTTTCAGATATTACGACAGACCACTAGTATATCTATTTCAATTTTATTATATCTGAGGTTGAATTTCATCATTTCGGACTTCCATTGTCTGATATGATATAAATTGATTTGAAATTCCTGAAAAAATATTAAAAAGATTAA